CGCAGATATTCTATTTGTGTTTGTGCTTCAACTGGTGGTGTTTACCTAAATTTCCTGGTCAATACTTGACCGGATCTATTGCAAGGTGTAAACACCTGAGGTATGTGGTTTCAGCATGATGGTGCTGGACCTCACTTTTCTGTTCCAGTTAGAAACCATTTCGATGCCAATTACCCCAATAGACGGATTGGCCGTGGAGGTTCAGTAAATTGGCCACCGCTATCCCCTGATCTAACTCAGCTAGATTATTTTTCATGAGGTCATTTGAAGTAAGAAGTTACTGCTGCATGTGTTAGTGTTAGAAATAACCCTCAAATAATTCGCAAGTCAGTGAATCATCTAATAGCATGCTCTCAAAAATGTATTGATGTTGGAGGGCTCCACTTCGAAAGTGTTGTTTTGTAATACTGGTTAGTGAAAGTTTTTCACGAATTCGTTGCTTTTCTTATGTTCATTACAAACAGTTATTGTTCGTTGTGTAGTATTCTCATAAATTCAAATTCATTAGTGAGCGAATATTATCTACGAAAACTTATACGATTTTTGTAGATTCCGAATCTACGATCAGATCATTGATAACTATTGATGTACTAGGTCAGCTAACATGACCAAACAAAACACTCATTCCAGTCCTGATACGAATTTATTTTTCAGTTTTTTCAGGTTATGAGAATATTTCATTTTACTCCGATTCATGAACTGATCGAAGAAAATAACGACATTCATGTCATGGTTTCGTAAATATACGTACTTTATCCGACAATGATTGATTTTTCAATGAAAAAAATCAAAATGATAATTAATCACGGAATAACTAAGATGGTGCCAGGAGATTTTTCAACAAATTCCTATACAATTTTCACCGTAAATTGCGAATCTGAGTTGAAATTTTTGGTTATTATGATACAGGGTGAGTTATCCTAACAATAACTCAACATAGGGGAAAAATATTATTCCGGTCCTGATATTGGTTTCGATCAAAGGCTACTTGTTGATGCTTTTCAGTGTAATTCATGTACCAAATTTGAATCCAATCGGCTAATCCCTGTATTTTATATCGCGGATTGAATTTTTTGTCAAAATCCACAAATCACTCTGTATCTCAGTAACGATGCCGTTTTGGACTTTCGTTTATGGCATTTTGCAATCATATTGACAGTCCCTATAACCCCATGAGTTTTGTCGGTTTTATCTCCGGACACCCAGTATTACCTGGCAATACATGAGATCTCATATATTGGCCTCCCTTAATATTTCCAGGATCGTATAACATTCGAAATGTTCCTTAGGGACTTCCGTCGAATGTCCCAATTGGTTCATGAACTGTTATTCTTCATCAATTCATTCATTCAGGAATTTATTAATTCATTAATTCATAATCAACAACTATTGCCTGATACAAAAAAAGTAAGCTCAAATCTGCTTGATTGATGTATGAGAAATGTCAAAAGCTGTGCAATGATCATTATAATTTCTACAGATTCTTTGGACTGGAGAGTTTGCGTGGATTTGGCAAGTAGGAGGTTCGATTCACTCGAGACGCCATTCTTAGAACGTGAAATTGAATTCTCTGCGTCAAATAATGAAAGTTACATAAGATATTGTTTATTTTGAGAAGGATTACATTTGAATGGTATTCTCTTCGAGTTTGTAGAATGCTGAATGACTCCGGAAGGAACTCCTATTAATAATCCATATGTTCATGAAAGTAATAAGTAGTACAAGAATATTTCTCAGGGAATATGATTTCATGAAATGTCATGAATACAACGTCTTATGGACGTCCCAAAGACGTCCTCAAAATGATCTGGATACGATTAGAAATGTGTCTAAGAGACATCTAGCAGTGGTGAACATTGGCATCAGGACTCCAGATAGACATCCTTCAATATTCTAGAAATAACGTTCGTCGTACATACCAATCGGTACGTTAAATATGTTGTCCCTGCGAGGACGCTGACTTACACCTCGCCGACGATCGACTGCTCCTAGGCTATGAATACCCTTCGTCAATGTCCTCTACGCAAGTCCATTGAACATCCTTGGAAACCATCTTCACGATCTATTGGGGACCTTCTAAGGACCATCATCTCAACTGAAATGTCCTTATAAGTTATGGAAGATCTGGTCCAACGGAGCCTCAAATGATTTCAAATTCGAGATAATTCGTACGTCCAAGGGACTTCCTATGAACATTCCTAGACGACGTCCTATGAAAGTTCCAAGATCGCCTCATGATCGTTTCAGAATACGTCTGATGGACGTTCCAGAGGATGTTTTATAGACAGTCCAGAGAACGTTTCGGAGGATGTCCTCCTTCTCACGGACGTACTATGAATGTCCACGGTACCGAGAACGCATATCCAATGGATATTCATGTGACTTCAGTGTGCCATCAGGATGTTTTTGACACACTATCTTTCTGCAATTGAAGTTGATATGCTTGTTGGTTACTGAGGATTATTACTAATAAGATTCTATTTTTCAAAGATTCAAAACATTGATTTTTGTAAACTGGAGCTTCTGCCAATAGTTATGAGGCGCTTCATTTTTGACAAAAAAAAAAAGTTCACTCATTAGTTCTATCAAGTTGATAGGAACCAACAAAATCATCTCCCGTTGCTGTGAGCAACGTGAACAACAAAGAGCCTTCTTATTGGTTCGAAAGGAATTTATGATATTCTCAACGTAATCATACAACAAACTGCTAATTCAACCATTTTTGATTTGACAAGGACAAAATTGTACTTGAATGAAAATATTCAAAAAATAATCATTGCGGCCCTGCAACATGTCTTTCCACAATCATACGGTACTTTATACTCCTTCAACAGGTGACATTCAATTCAAGAAATATAATAGTCTCTTCCACCACTACGTTTCATACACCATCTTTGTCATACTCGTATGCCTCAATGATTCATCTCACTCTAAATACTACACCTTTTCCAATAGTAATTCAGAAAGCGTCAAATGCAATTCAGACAATATCATTTGTAATTCAGATTAGTTAATTGAAATTCAGGAAATATTAAATGAAATTCAGAATTGTCAATTGATATTCAGAATGCGTCATTTGTGACTCAGATTAATCAACTGTTATTCAGAAAGCATCAGTTAGAATTCAGAAAGCGTCAATTGAAATTCAGAAAGCGTCATTTATTATTCAGAATGTATCATTTGTAATTCAGAATGGGTCGATTGTAATTCAGACTATGTCATTTGTAATTCAGAATAGTTGATTGAAATTCAGAAAACATCATTTGTAATTCAGATTAGTCAATTGAATTTTAGAAAATATCAATTGTAATTCAGATGAGTTGATTAAAATTCAGAAGATATCAATTGTAATTCAGAAAACTTTATTTGAAATTCCGATATATGGAACAGTGTTATGTACCTCTGCATGCATACCTACCTACAATCCATCATTATCAAAAGTACCTACTTTTTTTTTATCGCTTGGAGCGCACGAATGGGAATCCCTATAATGTTCAAAGAACATCTTGCGTTCCTAGGGAGGATAGAGACAGGAGGTAGGTATTGGAATTTTTTTTTGTATATATCATATTGTCCTGGAAACGAATATTCTAACTTCAAATAATTATACATCATCTCATAGAATGAACTTCAAAGACAACTGTATGATTTGTCGTATTCCAATGACTCGATATGAATAATCATTTTGTGCATACGAGGTGTGCTTTACCTAGATACCGGCTGCAAGAGGACCCAATTTACATCTCATTGGGGCAATTTCGGCAGCTGAGTTAGTAACTATGGAAAGAAGGAGAGTATCTTTCAAGACCGAAACTGCAAATGCTTGGGTAGCATCTGTACTACAACAATAGCAAGAACTAGGAAACCAGCTTGCGGACTTGGTCATAGTGTGTGACGTTGTGAATGAAACGACTGCACATCATTCGAGATTGACTCCATATTCTCCATTGCTGAATCCTATTGAAACCATCTGGTCTAAAATTAAGACATACGTTAAAGTGAATCTTCGTACACCCCAAGTTGCCGGCCCTGGTGTCATTGAACAAAGACTTTTGTTTCTCGAAAGAATAATTGACCAGGCAAAGCAGACAATTGTTGGAGGAGACTATGCTCGAGCAGCACAGCATACCACTATTCACCATGCTGCTGCTTTGACTTCAGAAAATATGCCCGTAGGTCGCTGAATGATGGATATTTTTATTTTTACCTGCTATGTCCCAATTCAATCCCAATATTGTTCGTTTTCATACATTACTCGCTTATAGTTATTGTATTATGAATGAGTAATAAAAACAAACTTGTGTTGTTGTATCTCACATAATATAATTACTGATTAGATTTCGAGGTGAACAACAACTGCTGTCTGAATTCCAATTGACTAATCTGAATTACAATTGACGATATCTGAATTTCTATTGATGCTTTCTGAATTTCATTTGACAAATCTGAATTACAATTGAAGTTTTCTGAATTTCACTTGACTAATCTGAATTTCAATTGATTTTTTTTTTAATTTCAAGCAACTTATCTGAATTACAAATTACGTAGTCTGAATTACAATTGACGCATTCTGAATTACAAATGACGATATCTGAATTTCGATTGACGCATTCTAAATTTCAATTGAAAAATCTGAGTTACAACTGATATTTTCTAAATTACAGTTGACTAATCTGAATTACAATTGATATTTTCGGAATTTCAATTGACTAGTCTGAATAACAACTGACGTTTTCTGAATTTCATTTGAGAAATCTGAATTAAAATTGGCGCTTTCTGAAATACATCTGGAAAAGGTGTAGTGAAGTTAATCGTCAGTTGTCTGATGTTTTTTCAAAAAAGTGGTTGGAGAACTTCCAGGAATACTGAGGATATATTCCTTTACTCCTCAAGTACTATTCAGTAAAAAAGTCAACTGGGAAAATGGACAAATCGCAAATTTCATGTTCGATGGCATTTTGGAATTCCAGGTAATATAATTTTTTTTTTCATTGTTGCAGTGAAGTGAATAACACCAAGGTCCAGGTTTGCGAGAAGAATGGACTTTACGACATTAAAGCTGTAGCAGAAGTCCCTTCACTCGACGCCCCTGAAGAGTTTTCCTGTGAGCTTCTCATTCCTCAAGCGAACTACACCGTCAGGAAAGAAGCCATATATTATCCAGGTATACCTTCTCACATATGATATAATTATGGGAGTTCTGGATGAAATGACAAACTTGGGTAAAATGTCATGCAGGATTTATTTTTCATTCGGAGCGTTGCACAAAACTAGAAATGTGAGTGCCAGTATTCATGTTAGTAGCCCTCTGTTTATACAATATGGCGTCTCTCTCATATCCATGCCCCGTAAGCACAAACATCCCTGAAATGGTGCATTCATGTCTCGGTAGGCAACAATGCGAATCATAAGACCATTTTCTAACAGACCAAATCATTAGGAAGTTCAGTTTTGAGAAGAACTTCCGAATGGAACTGAGCAACAAGCACGAATGGAGCATAGAATCTCGAAGCGCTGGGAAGAAACATCATTACTTGGTATACGGACGGGTCTAAAACACCCGAGGGGACTGGAGCAAGAGTCTTTGGGCCTCGCACCAAATACTTCGAATCCATGGGACAATTCTTCAGCATATTTTCAAGCAAAATACACGCTATAAAAAGGTGCATCCAGTTCAACCTAGAAAGGAAATACTGGAAGAAGGATATCGAGATTTTATCCGATAGCCAAGCAGCCATCAAACTGTTGAGCTCTCCTAACATCAACTCGAAGATGGTATGGAAATGCCTAAGCAAATTGAATGAGCTAGGCAGTAACAATAAAGTGATCCTTCTCTGGATGCTAGGGCATACCGGAGTGTTGGGGAATGAACAAGAAGACACTCTGGCACGACAAGGGTCTTCAATGCCACTGATCGGACCAGAGCCATTCTGCGGCCTTGGAAATTCCCATTTCCAAAGAGAACTTTGAAAGGCGGAAGGAGCCTTGAGAGCCAGAAAATGGAGAATACTTCCAGGACTGCGGCAAGCTAAAGATCTCCTCGGAAATTTCAACCGAGGAAGATCTAAGACACTGATAAACCCCAGCAAAGGAAGTCTTGAAGCAATAACGGGGGCATTGCAGACTCAAAGGACACCTGAGGAAGCTAGGCTTACAGGAGGACGGCACCTGAAGATTCTGTGAGGAAGAACCAGAAACACCCCATCACATACTGATGGAGTGTGACGCTGTACATTACAAAAGATTGAACATACTGAAAACACATCAGCTGATTGTGGCAGAAATACCACAACTAGATTTCCTCAAAATCCTCAAATTCCTGAAGGAATTGAAGCTTGAGGGGCTGCTCTGTACAAGAAATCCTTGATATATAGCAGAAGCAGATGGGGTACAATAGATCTAATTAGGTCGCAGCGCATCTGTCACCATCCATCATCATTGGTATTGCCAGGGGACTCTTTATGTTGAAAAACATTCGTAATATTCGTCTCATTTCATTGGAAGTGAGACTTGAAATGTAGGTTAATATAAGAGGCTAGCTAATAACCAAAAAACTCACTGGAACTTCACGATATTATCCAATTCTGTGACTCAAGCAAATCAATCAATTATTATGTTGAATGGGGAGTCGCTCAATACATTACTGCAAGTTTCATTTGGCATCGTAATGTGAAGTCACGGATGTGATGTGTGGCACGTGTGTATTGCCCTCTCTGATATCTCTATAATCATTCTGTGTTGACTGGGTGGTTCCATCCAGTGTATTAATTCAGATTTGATTCAATGACAAAATTGAAGCTGCGTTAGTCTTCGATGCTATATGATGGTCATTATTCTTCATATTCTGAAATGGATTTGGAAATTTATCCCACATTCAATCGAAACTTCGTTATGTTTTGGGCATTTAATGTATTTAGAATATAATGACACACAACTCATCAGCGCATACATATTTCGCGCATTGCATGTGAACTATATGAGAGGTTTTATTTCGACCTTTATGGTCTTCAATCAAGCAAAACTCCAAGAAATTATTTACTTCTAGATGTTCAACCAGTATTAAGGTTTATAAGGCCAGTTCAACACTATTTTTCATAATGAACTGAGCATATTACTCACATTTAGAAACAATATTTTTTGACGTTTGCAGAAAATAGTTTCGTTTGCAACAGTTGCGAACAATTTTTTTAACTCGACTCTCGATCACCAAAATATAGAATATCGTACACATTACCTTTTCAAATTCAAATTGAGATTATTCAATTTCAAATTGAAATCAAACACATTCAAATTGGTAAACAGATTCAAAATGAGAATGAATACAATATCAAATTGGAAGAATCATATTCAACAGGTTCAAATTGAGAATTTACTTTCCCAAGTTGGAATACGACAAAATGTATGAGATCATCGAAGTTCAAAAAGAAAATTGGTTATTTGTTTTCATAAATAGTAGTGATGGAGACACTGAATAGGTACTTGGGTAGCACATATTATATACGTATATCTCTATTTATTTTACAATAAAATGAAGAGATTTTGTATTTCGTGAAAAATTTATTATAAAATCTCAAAGCACTTTCGCCTAAAAATGCATCATCGATGCTATACCTGCAAGTAAGTAACATTCATGGAATTTTAAAAAGAAAAATCAGAAAGTGTAGATAACTCACTCGTCAAGTATTTACAAAAAGGTCCAAAAATTATTTATAATCGACGACATCATTATGGTACAAACGGAATTAGGAACATACATACATTTAACATTAAAGTTCCCCAATGGGTTATTGTAAAGTTTTTTCACAAATTGTATTGTTTAGTTCAGGTCCAGGAAGAGCACGAGGGACTTAAACTTTGATCAATCTGACGAATATTTGACATTTTTAAGTATATAAATATTGTTGACAAAGACTGAGTGTCAATGTCAATGACTGAGTTGACATGAGTATGAAGTAGACAAGTGACATTGTGACCACAGCGCGTGGAAAAGAATTTATTTACCTCCCACGCGAGGTAATTGACAGGTTTGTGTCCTTCAATGAGAAAACAAACACTTACTTTCGATGCAGTGAGTAGATAAAAGTATAAAAAGGATGTGGTAAATTACTAAAAAAGGTTATTGAGGACCGCTGCTGTCAAAAATGTTTTATACTATAACCTTCATCGATATAATATATAAAACTGTTCAGATTTAATATTCAGAGAATTTCACGTGCATCAACTGAAATTATATGAAGTGGATCTGAAATGCTTTCACAAGTACCGACGGGAAACAACCGAGCAAAAATGGAAATAATAATGATAAAGCTACAAGGAAATTGCATTATTATTACATCAAACAGATTCTAGTTTTCGAGTGAATAATACAATAGATCATGGAAAATGCAAGATTGTGCCATTTCGAACTGTACAATTGGAAGTAGAATTTAGCTATAGGAGACATACCTACTATCAAATATGAAAATAGAATACTCATAATGCGGAATTCATGGGCTGAAATGTTCTCCACATTTTGAGGTGGAATATACTAATTTTTCATTTAAATCTCCTCAACTCCAAATGGGGGACACCATTGATTTTTCACAACGACATCGTCTTGAGCTCTATGATGAAAAACTACCAAAAATATCCTTTTGAATTTTCTCATTCATACTAGGGCGATGAAAAAAGTGAATTGATATATATTCATTTCAAAACACACACTTCCTGCGCGATTCGAAATGGTGTCAATTCATTGGTGTAATTGGTGTGACATTAGTCCCGACACGCCTATTGTCCTTGAGCCGACCAATTACACTGCAACACTGCAGAATGGACAGGTATCAGAGAGAGATAGCTACAGTTCGGGACTAATACGTCATGACTCCACCTTCATATCTGCTCTTTGAAATATCGAATGGAATATGCTGATTTCAAAAAGCAAAAAATCGATTCTCTCCTACTTTTACGAATAATACATTGATTGTACATTACATGAGAATCATGCTTTATCGATTTAAAAAGGTTTTGACGGCTTTTATCTCTCAGTGGCCTTCCCCATTGAGACTTCATCATTTTCAAAATGAAAATAAACATCATCAAATAGGGACAAAATGATTCAGCATGGATTTAACACATTCAAATCGAAATTAAACGAGTCCAAATCGAGACGAATCACTTTCAAAACGGGAATAACCAAGTCCAAGACTACAATTATTTTTCGAAAACAAGACCAAGACTGATCAGACTTGGCCTTGGTCTCGCCCTACAAATATAGAATCGTCCACTGTCAGGGAGTCAATAGATATCATTTTGGACATTATTTGTTATGAATAACCATTCAATAATTCGCTACTTTCATTGATTCCTTGCGTCAAACAGTTTTCCCCTCCAAATATAAAAACCGACGTGTTTCGTTGTTTTTTTATATCATTTTACTAAGAGTCATCAGGAGTGAATTGTCATGAATGGAACACCCGGTATAAAGACCCTGTAGTTTTCATGTGATCAGAATTTCATCACAATCAGAATAATGGCTGAACATTTATCACAATAACTTCAATGAACATATTAATTCCGTCAAAATAAAAAGGCTTACTTTCCAGATATATGACTCACTTACGAATGGAAGACCTATCACTGCTTTCTCGCTCGACATTTTTGTCCCTCAACCAGTATCTTACTTTTTCTCATGAAACTTAAAGTTACTCACATATGAAGGTTTCACTGCAAGTTACCATATAAATTTCTCAACTCACGCTAAGCAGTGAATACATTATAACATTTTCATATCGTGGCTCGACATACCTCATCAACCCAAAAGAAATATGTTCAGTGTGCAACAAGAATGAGTTCGAAACTATGCAGCACATTATGTTCGACTGTCCTATTTAAACTGCTATGAGACCCCCAAGACACTCCATTTTTGGAAACCATTAACAACTTGGTCGACACTCTCATCAATATCACGCCTTCTTCTGCTAAATCCATCTCTGCCCATTTATGTAATATTGTGAAACTCCGCTCATTTATTATGAATGAGTGACTGATGTTGATATTCTCCTTATTTCTGCGAAAAAATATTCATTATGATAATAATCAAATCTTGGTATGATCTTCTTGATATTGTCACTGCTATTTGTTACTCTCGCTTTGTTTTTCATTATAGTACCCGCTGAATTGTCA